AAAATGTATATGATAAAATATGTCTGTCCTTTAAAATTCTATTATGAAACATGTCAGACCTACATATAAGTATAAACACAAATAACATCTACCTTAAAAAAATAAAACACATACTAACAATATAGTTGAAGTCTGAAGTATATATCTCCCCAATCATATCTTTTTTCCTCACTCCCAGAATGAACCACCATCATATATTTGGTGTACAAGTATATCATTTCTATAAATTTTCTTATGTTTTTGTCATTACGTTTATTCTTAAGCTCTATGGTAGTACTGTTTTTCATATTTTTCAATTCTATATAAATTTTATAATACTGCACATATATTTTTCTTCAGCTTAAGGTTTTTGCACTATACCATGTTTCTGACATTCATCACTATTTAACCATGTAGTTTTAATTTATTCATTTTTTCTGCAATATTGTATAATTTAGCATACTTAGTCCAATTTTTATTGAGAAACACTCAGATTGTTTCCAAATTTCTATAATTTAAGTGATTTTCCCATGATCATTCTGGTGTTCCTCTCCTTCTTAGTACCTGTGAGAAATTTTCAAAATTATATACTTAGAAATGGAAGTACCAGACTTTAGGGCTTGTACTCATTGCTTAATTACTCAACATCAATTATATATGAGAGTTTCTCTTGTTCCACATTTTCACAAATACTTGTTATGGTTAAATTTTTATATTATAAAAATTTGATGAGGGTGAAAATGATATTAATTGTGGTTTTAATTGCATTTCCCTAATTATTAATGAGGTCAAACATTTTTCATGTTTGTTAGCCACTAGAGGTTAGCTCTTCTGTTATTTTATCATACAATTTGCTTCTAAACCCTGAATAGCCAAAACAATCTGAGAAAGAAGAACAAAGATAGGGGTATCACGCTCCCTGGTTTTAAACTATAATACAAAACTATAGTAATTAAAACAGTGTGATACTGGCATAAAACCAGACAAACAGATCAATAGAACAGAATGGAGGGAGCCCAGAAATAAACCCATGCATATATTGCCAATTAATTTGTGAAAAAGCCAAGAATATAAAATGGAGAAATCACAGTCTCTTCAAAATATGGTGTTGGGTAAACTAGACATAATTCGGAATTTGCCAACCCAGGAATATATCTTTTCCCATCAAATCAGCCCAAACTTGGTGCATTCTCTCAATCCACAATTATTTATTCAGTGTAAAGACTCCCCCACCCCATTATTTGTTTAAATAATTGCCTCTTCGTTATATGACTCTTTTTCTGGAACAGGGTTATTCACATTTGTTCATAGATACATCCTCTAGCAACTTTTTTCCATCATGGCTTTGAGATATTTTTTTCTCAATTTCCAAGGTATTAATTTAAAATGCAACTAAAAGTTGATTGTGAAATAGAGCAATGTTTAAAATTTAAAGAATTGGGGGGGGTTGTTTGTTTGCTATACCCCAATCTCCTTAAATATGCTTATGATTTTTCTTGTTGTTAAATTGTTATTAGTCTCTTTTAGCAGATCTGTTTGATCTTCGTCTCTCTGGCTTCTAGGTCCCCGTAAATTTGTTGTCTTCTTTGTCAGCTCACTGATGCTCAAGTATGGTAGTTGGAGCACCCTTACTAGCAGTAAGTCTATAAGTAGCAAAAGATAGAGTCTTCCGTACACCTATGGGCCAGGAGTGTAGTAGCAAAATGGCTTCCAGTCCCTCAGTAGACAACATGAGGGAGCCACCTTTCTCCCCGAGTTTCCTTGCACACGCCCACCTCAAGAGCAGGAGAACTCAGCTTACCCATTCACCTCCTCCTACATTTCTTGAGGACTAAAGAAAACAGGCAAGCTCACATGGGGCTGATATTGACCTTCTGTCAAGGGTCTAAGATCTGTTATATTCAGATACTCTTCCTGGAGCTCATTGGCTTTGGCCCATGAGGAGAAAACTGGTTCCAGCTATCCTTGTCTGGATTTCCCCATGGGCCAAGACTCAATTACTAGCCCTAGCAGCTGCTTTGCTGAAGAGAAGAAGCTGGGATTAGATTTGGGAAAGTAAGCTGAGCCACAGCTATAAAAGGAACCTATTTCCTGAATGAAGGAAGCAATGGTTGAGTCAAAGAAGTTAGATAGACTCAAATGATATAAACAGGCAAAATGAATAGCGTTTAATAATGATTGTAGGTTGAAAGTGTTGCGGGGAGGGGATATAAAGATAATCAGAGACTTCTTGTTTGGAAAATAAGTTGGGTAAAGTAATCAAGAAATAAGCTGTTTCTATCTCTAAACTCTCACTACATCTCGGAGTTCATTGCTACTGAATTTTCTTTGCCTCACATATTTGAACTACACATCTTCTCTGAAGGGACAGAATAACTGTAATGAATGTCAAGAAGAGAGAAGGATATTTAAACACCGTGTTAGCCCCAAGTCTACTTATGGTCCAGATCGCTCTGACCCCAGTTGCTAAATGCATTCTCCCAATATCATCCTTACCATCTTGCTGCTGAGAGCAAGAGAATAATATTTTTGGCATAATCAGCAATCAAAATTGAGTTGATTTGAAGTTTTTGAGTTGAAGTTGAAGTTTTTTTGTTTGTTTTTAAGATTTTAATTGGGGAATTGGGGAATGGGAACAGTGCTGGGGAATTGGGGGAAGGAGAACAGACAAGTTGCTGTCATTTTGTTCTTCAGTCTAGTTGTGGAGGACGTTGCTTCACTGGCCCAAGGTGGCACCATCATTGCGCTCTTCCCGGNCTCCAGGTTGAGCTGTTGTTCAGCATCTTAGCTGTAGAGGGCAGTGTCACTGGCCCTCATATGTGGGATCTGAACCGGGGCCCTCTGGCATCCCAAGTCAGTTCTTAACCAACGCGCCACTCGGCCGGCCCGAGATTTTTTTTTTTTTAACTTCAGGTAAAGATGTACACCATGACACACTGTGACAAATTGAGTTGCATAGTGGTGCTCAGAGTGCAATTTTATACACCTAACTCCAGCACTTCAAAGTGTGCTTTCATATAGGGTTAATAAAGCCAGCTGGGATTCCTGATTCTTAATCAGTAAGAGGAGCATCACTGCTCACAGTTTCAAAACAGTCTGTCTTATCTTGTTATTTGTCACCTCTGCCTGAGAAAGCATGGGAGTCACAGCAGTTTTCTCTCTCTAAAAGTTACAAGACTATTCTATTAGCTTACTTAAGAGTTATATTTATCTACATTCTTTTGAATGGAACTGGTTTTGAAGTGAAAATATATGCCGTGCCCTTGTCAGCAGTGGACTCTCAATACAATAACAACAGCAGCAATAATAATGCTGTAACATCAAAACTGATAAACAACGCAGGAAAAGATTAAAGGCTAGACATTAAGAGACCCATCTAAAGGGGCAGGAGATTAAAGGAGAGAAAAGTAACGGAACAGACAAAATTCATGCTTTACTGCAGTGAATGCTGGGCTAGAGGAGAGCTGGCATGTAGAACAGCTCTTAATTATTTACTTACTCTCCATATTGTTCCCGAAAGAATTTAAGACTTCTTATATGAATTGGGCAAGATTATATAAAGGAAAAAGAAGAAATTAAAAAAGAACTCAAAGCTGGGATAAGTATGTAGAACTGAATTATAAATGTTTAATTTAAAAATACATGAAACCAACATACTTATAGAAAGTTGTAAGTTTGAGTCTGAGATTTTCAATAGTCTACTCTGAAAGGGAAACATCACGGTGAGCTATACGATCCCAGTTTCTATCGGCTAGAAACTACCCAGTTGTTCAGGAACACCATAATGATTCTGGAGGCTAACATCAGACAGGAATATCTCCTAGATGCCTTGCTGAGGTGACTGTGCAATGTAATGACCCATGTCCTCAACAGCATCCTTACAACAAAGCAAACAGTAAGATTCATAGAACTGTGTCTTATCTTGCCCTTCAGCCAGTGTGGGGCAACTAAAAAAAGAATATTTTATTTGAAAGAAATAGTTTGTGTATACATACACACACACACACACACACACACACACACACATCTAATCACTATGCTGTACACCTGAAACTAATATTGTATGTCAACTGTAATTGAAAAAAAAAATTTTTTTAATTTTTAAATATTTTACATGGGGTACTGAAAGGTAAAATAAAGCAATAGTTCTCGAGTTTCATAAAATCTTAATAAAGACAATATGACGCTCCATTGCTTCTGGGTTTTCAGAGTCCTCTATGACCTTCTTAGAAATAGCCATAGACCTCCCCACTGGGCACCAGTGGTTTTGAAATGGTCAGAAGAGACGTTAAAGGGACTCAGGAAAGAAAACTTGATAGTTTGTTGGTAAACTAATGACTCATTTCAGCTTCTAATTTCTTTAGGCCCAGCTATCTTTCTTAAAATGTTAAAAAAAGCTCAGGAGTGGCACTCGGATTGTGGGTGGGGCAGAGAGTAACAAAGACTCATGAGGTATTTACAATCTGACAATGTGTTAATTTAGGAGGGAGGATTAATTCTTTGGAAGGAAAAGTCCCAGGTTGGGCCTCAGAGTCATTTAACAAAAAACAAATTATGTTATCCTTAAACCAGAGTGCATGAAAGCAGAGATTTCAAGTGAACAGAAAACAGAGATCAAGAAAACAGAACAAACCTTTTCTGGATCTCAAGGCAATTTTGATGGAGCAATAGCAAGAAAGGGCTGATGGCAGAAAGGGTAACAGAAATCAGTTTACTGTTTAACAAATATCTTTAAAACTAAATAATGACAGATCATCATTACTGGGTGAGAAAATTCATATTAGTTAATTCCAAAATAATGTAGCTGGAACAGTATGTGGACAAATTACTATAATGTGCTTTTTCATACCAGTTCTCCAAGGTAGTACCAGATCTTTATAAAGACTCACGGATAGTAATTGCATATCTTTTCCTTCTTCTCCACTCCTAGGTGCTAAGTACAGAAACCTGAGCCAAAGATAAAATTGGGCATAAGGGGACCTAAATATTTTTACATTGTTCCTTGAAGTTTTGTGATCTAAATGAATGCGGAGCTTTCGTACGTAGCAGAGCAGCTCCCTTGCTGCGATCTATTGAAAGTCAGCCCTGGACACAAGGGTTTGTCTTTCGCCGCGCGCACGTGCCGCGCGGCGGGGAAGAGCGGGGCTTCTCTTCCTCCATCCGGGCGTCCCCGGGGCGCGCCCGCTCTTCCCCCTCGACCACCGCCGTCCTCTCCTCCTCCCCCGCCCGGGGAAGGAGGGCCGCCTTCCAACCCGCGGGCGTCGCCCACAGGCCCTCGGCGGTCGGGCGGCGGCGCGGTCCCGCTGGGAGTTGGGGGGTGTGGGGGAGACCCAAGCGGGGGAGGGGCCGCCGGGCCCCTCTCTCCCCCGCGTCGCGGCCGGCCTTCTTCCTCCCCCTCTGCCCCGCCGGGGCTTCCGGTCCCGGGCTGGGACGGGGCAGGGTGGGGCGGCGCAAAAAATAAATAAATAAATAAATAAATAAAAATGAATGGGGAGCAATTCATTTTAATTTCCAAGCCACTCTGTGTCATGCTAGTTTTACCAATTTCTTTAGCCACTGGCTGCTTTTACTCAAGGGCAAAAAATAATCATGAATCACATCTTAAAACAAGAGGCTAAAAAAGAAATGGTCTTACCCCTGGCCCTAAGATCCAAGCTCCACTAAGACTAATACCAATCTTAATGTAATCATGTTGAAGGCCAGACATCCGTCCATCAATGGTGTCTAGGTGACTATCAGAGTACCTGTTTAGAGCACACAGATCACAGCAATGAGGCCAGAGTTTTCAAAATACCTTAAGAAAGCAATGACAAAGACAAGATAAAAGAATGGAGACTAAGGTCTGCAGGAATTTGAATTCCGTAATTTGAGTATCTATGTCCCAGAAGTATATTTTCATTTACAAAATCAAACCAAAAGAAAATAGAAACGGGTTAGCCTAGCAATTAAAGAAGAGCTGTTCCCTGTATTACTATCTGGTATAAAGATTTTGGAATTTCCAAATGAGAAGTCTAAACCTGAAGCATTCTGGAAGTCAAAATCACTTGCAAGCCATTAAGGATGAATTGATTTTCCAACACAGCAGCAGAAAGCTAGGAGCACTTTCGGTTCCTTTGAGAACTTATGCTGTCGTCAAATTCTGGCACTAAAGATGAAGAAACTTAAGAAATACTTAGTAATTATAAGCTTCTAGTTGCACACCTTGTTCTAATAAGATTACATGATCATTCGGAAACTGAGCAAACATTTTGAAAAAGCCTTACGAGCAAACATTTTGAAAAAGCCTTACCAGGGATCTGCATATAAGAAGGTTTCTTGCATAATCTCGATATCTGATTGAAGCATTTGATTAAAACCGTTTCAATATCAGTATGCTTGCTCTGCTTTTTCTTAAACAAAAGCCTCATTGCTGGTAATCATCCCCAACTAACCAGTCAGCTCTCCATCATGAATTCTTTTAAATATTCTGTCTGAAGAAATGTTTCTAAATCGGTGTGCTTTCAACGAGATACGAATAGATGTTCTGTGAGGAAAAAAATAAGTTTACATAGTCGACAAAGCCTGAGGCTGGCTGGTAAAACAAACTTAAATAGATTTCTTAATTACAAGGTTTCTCTTGAGTATTTACCCTCTCCTTGGAAGAGGCAGAATTTAGCATCAGTTAAGCCCCAACTCCCTTTTTCCCCAGAACGCTATTTTTATCATTAGACATAATTCGCACAGAACATAGTTAGGCAGAATAGCTTTAAAAGAAAGTAATAAGAGAGAGGTTGTAGGGTAGAGTTAGTGAGCCTCATTGAATGGAATGTGCCTGTGCTACAGATATGTGTTGCTTGAAGTTTTATTCCATAAGCCAATTCTACCTAAGGACCAGCTTGTCACCCACCTTGGATGGTGAAGCCTGACCTTAGGGCTCCGATGCCCTGTGTCCTAGGAATAAAGCCTGTTTTATGCCTGTAGTGAATGAATATCTGTCACCTTTACCATGTCACCAACCTCAGTGAAGAAACGGAATTGCCATCTGTCTTCATGTGACTGTGGGTAAAAGAATCCATCATTATAAAGATACTCGTACACAGGGAAGTAAAGTGTCGGACTGCCAACCACAGCCTGGCTGGGTTGAATAATGCCTCTCAAGTATCAAGCTGCCTTAGTTTGAGAGCATTGCTTGCTGTAGGTGGAACAATGAGCAAGCATGAGAAGCCAGGCCTGCCTGCTCTCCCAAGCGGTCTTCTGAGATCTTTACCAATGAGGACTCACTAGGATTCCAACATCCCTCCAGAGACGTGAAACTACAATCCAGTTTAGCAATACTTGGCTTGGGAAATGAAGATAAATTTTTCCCAATGATGACAAATTCTGATTAGAACTTAATCTACAAACAAAATCATATGCTAGCCAAGAGAACCAGGAAATGGTGTCCACAGGTGTTAACAAGTTTATCCAAGGTCATACCTCTAAAATTTTTGTAATACCCCCTGTCATTTAGTCCATTTAATGTTTCTCTTAATTCATATATATGAATTAATGCCCCTTCCTCACAGAGCTATACCTAACCAAATTATCTTAAGCATCTCTCTCGCTGCTGATGTATTCTTTTACTTCATACCAATTATCATAATTTGAAATTATTTTATTTGTTTATGTACTAATTTTCTATTTTACCCCATTAAAGTAGAAGTTTATCATACAAGCATCTTATCACTTTTGTTCCATTTAATCCCACATACCCAAAACAGTGCCTGAACTTACTAGAATTAAATCAAACCAGGTGATCAAAAAGAGATCCACATTTCCAGTTAGCAAAACACCTAACTCCCAAGATAGACTTTCTTTCATAGCAACATTCAGTCTATAAAGGGAAACAGGGATATCTTATTCCATAAGAGCTTCTAAGGAAATAATCACCTACCTGAAATGATTAAAGGGCTCTTCACCTTGGAGGCAAGAAGTTTAACCTCATGGCTCTCTTGGGGGCCATCTGTTTATATCTATACTAACAAATCATTTCTATTCACCTTTTGTGACCCCAGTTTTGGGTCTCTCTGGTTTCCAGCAGTTAAAAGGACCCAGACACTCTTCCAAATTTCTATTCTGATGAATTGCCTGACACATCTCATAATAGTAATGCTTATGATTTTAGTTGACAACAATTCTGGCATACTTAATTAGTATCAGACATTGCTCACCTGAGCAGTTTCAGAATTTTTCATGATAAAAGAGATATAGCAAGATAAAGCTTCAATTTAAATAAAATGAAGTAAAATAAATTTTTAAATCATTGCAATGATTTTGAAGCGTTGAGGAATGCACCAGCATTACACATCTAAAACCAAAAGAAAAGTAAAATATTGTGTTCTCAATACGAAATCCACAGATATTTGGAAACATGTACATTACTGACAGAATTTTTTACTTTTAAACTGGCTGTGAGAAAAATCAATATGAAGCATAAGACTTTTTTTTTAATTAAGAGTGCTTAACATAATAACCAAAAATATATAATAAAGGACTTAGGACCTGTTAGGTTTAAGAAATGAGGGTCAAGTTTGAAAAGACAAATGATAAGAATAGACTACTGGGACACATGCTTTCATTTAACAGATGCATCCCAATGTCGCCATTCAAGCTATCTCCCTAAGTAAATGAAGAGAGGGATAAATTCATAAGCTCTACTGCACACAGCCTCCTCTGCCATTATACTTCAGGATATGTACTTTTCTTCTAAAATATGCAGAAAATTAATAAATTTCAATTCATTCAACTTATTTCAAATTATAAAAATATTAACATTACATAGTTACATTTGAGAGATAAAGTAATCCCCCAAAGTCTAGACATATTCTAAGTACTATCTCAATAATCCACACTTACAATAGCAAGCGCTTACTTGGGTATTATTACAAATACATATTTAATCATTTCAAATACCTTTTCAACCATGAAATCACATCAATTGTTTTATTTCTTAAGAATTTAATACACTCATGGTCAGTACTGTATATTTTAGGGCCTAACTCCTCCCTTGTCACTTCAAAAAAAATAACTTTAGAAAATTGCAAACTTGAGTTCAGGGTTCATGCCTCATACTTTGCCTGTTTCATTCAAAGTGTCAGGAACCATCCTGAAGATATATAAGCCAGAGATTTTAATTTTTTAATTGAATTTTAAGCCCTCCTGAAATCTCAATCTCAATCTACATGGGTAGTGGTTGTTTGATATATATATATATATATGTATATAGGCATAATTATTGTTTTTCTTCTCTAGGATGTTGGGATATTATATCAGGCTATTGGTAGCAAAGTCATTATGACATATAGCACATGTACCCCCAAATCTCCCCTCACCCAAACACAGTATTAAGGCATGTATTTGACAAAAGCTTATGATTTTTGATAATTTCTTCTAGGTCCTTTGTTTCACTGACTTATGGGATTTCTGTATATGTCTAATTTGACTAATCAAAAATCAGTCATTTAAAGGCTGTTTAAGAAGGGAGGCAGCACTTCTGGAAATAATATGCAATTATAGTAAGATTACAAGATAAAAGGTTAATATATAAAAGCCCATTGTTCTTCTATATACCAAAATAAACAAGTGGAATTTGAAATTAAAAGGATAGCATCATTTACATTAGCAGTCAAAAACATGAAATAGTTATAAATCTAGCAAAATATGCACAAAATCTAGATGCAGAAAACTACAAAGTTCCAATGAATGAACTCAAAGAAAAACTAAATAAATGGAAAGTATGCCATGTTCATGGATAGGAACACTCAATATTGTCAAGATGTCAGTTCTTCCCAAACTGATCTCTAGATTTAATGCAATCCCAATCAAAATCCTAGCAAGTTATTTTATGGATATCAACAAACTAATTCTAAAGCTTATATGAAGAAGCAAAAGACCAAGAATAACCAATATAGCATTGAAGGAGAAGAACAATGTTAGAGAACAGACACCACCTGATTCCAAGACTTAACTCTAAAGCTACAGTAATCAAGATGGTGTGGTACTGAGAAAGAGTAGACTGAGATCAATGGAACAGAATAGAGAGCCCAAAAATAGACCTCCATATACACAGTCAACTAATCTTTGATGAAGGAGCAAAGGAAATTCAGTGAAGCAACGATAGTTTTTTCAGCAAATAGAGCTGTAACAATTAAACATCCACATGCAAAAAAAAAAAAAGAATCTAAACACAGATCATGCTCTCTTCACAAAAATTAACTCAAAATAGATCATAGACCTAAAGGTAAAATACAAAACTATAAAACTCCCAGAAAATAAGATAGGCGAAAACCAAACAACCTTGGATATGGTGATGTCTTTATAGATACAACACTAAAAACACGATCCATGAAAGAAATAATTGATAAGGCAGCTTAATTAAAATTATAATCTTTTACTCTGCAAAAGATAATGTCAAAAGAATTATAGCACAAGCCACAGACTGAGAGAA